CGCATGCGGAGGTCCTGCTATATGGCTGCTTCTTATAGAACAACTGCCTGATAATACAGTCTATTATTCATCTGCTCGATGTATTCAACCAATGGGCAGGGCTGATTTTATCAGGGTAATTACCCTGATTTCAGGGTGATTTCAGGCTTTCCACTTCGTGGAGACTGAAATTTCAGAGTTATTGAATTTCCAGCCCTGATCCAATCAGAGTAATAGTTTAGCTATCCCTGATTTTGAGTACAGTGTAACAGACTAGGCTGTTAGTGGACCCTGACTTAACAGAGTATCGACTGTGTGGACCCTGACTTCTCGAGAGGAAGTTTCTCGGAAGTTTCCTTCCGATGACCCTGCCTTGGATTGATTGCAGTGATCCCCCCACATGTGCGTAATCCCCCCCCTTCCCGCTTTATCGAGACGAAGTTTCTTCGAAACTTCGTTCTGATCGAAACTTCGAGACTTTATGGAGATTTGGGATATTTTCCCCGACTTATCGAAAGGAAGTTTCTCGGAAGTTTTCTTCCGATGACCCCGCCTTGGATTGATCGCACCGATCCCCCCACATGTGCGTAATCCCCCCCCTTCCCGCTTATCGAGACGAAGTTTCTTCGAAACTTCGTTCTGATCGAAACTTCGAGACTTTATGGAGAGTGGGGATATTTTCCCCGGTAACAAAGCGCGCGTTACTACTCTGATGTTCATTTCTCGACCCTGAACAATCAGTGTTAACTAATTTACAACCCTGAGCAATCAGGGTACGGGTACTGCTTTTCTGGAAAATGTGCACACATAATAGAGGGGGAAAATTTTCCCCGGAATCAGGGAAGCTTAAAATGAAACGTCAGCCCTGCCAATGGGTTGCAGGGCAGGTTCCCGAGCAGGCACGGCCCTGGCTTGCTGCTTTTAACCTGGTTGGGCTGTCTAAGCCCAACGGCGATGTCAGGCCGGTGGCCATTGGAGAGGTCCTTCCGCGCATCCTTGCACGAGCACTCTGCATTACACTCAGACCAGCGATGGCCTCCCACTTTCAGCCGTGTCACCAGCTGGGCATTCGCACCAGCGCAGGAATGGAGATTTTGAATCACGCCTTTCGCTCGGCTCTGACTACTCATACAGATTGGTGTGCGCTGCAGGTAGATGTTGCGAACGCATTCAACTCCTTCCACTGACGAGCGATGTTTGAGGGGTTGCGGGAGTCCCCCTTTCTGGGTCTCATCCCATTCTTGGGTATCTTTTACGGGACACCTAGTGATCTTTATCTCCGGGCAGGCCCATTCGTAGAAACTCTCGCTTCAACACGAGGATCCTAGCAGGGGGAACCACTCGGGCTTTTCCTCTTCACATTCACGCAGCAGCTGGTCATGGAGCAGGTCACTACAGAGTTTGCTGATTTGCTTTTCCTGAGCTATGCGGATGATACCTACATTTTGGGCCCGGCGGCAAGGCTTTTGGAGGCGTTTGGCATGTTACGGGAACGGCTGCAAGGGGTGGGGTTGGAGGTGCAGGCCCACAAGTGCCGATTCTGGGTACGGGAGGCCTCTGACGCGGTAGAGGAGATGCCTTTGGGCATGCTGTTGAGATAGGTAGGAAGGAATGAGATGGATTAGGGCAAGGAGGGGGATACAATGAAGTGTCGAGCAACTTACTGTACCCCCTAAGGCTAAACCCACTACAGCCTAGATAGCAGTAAACATATAATTTGACACACCCCCATAGGCAAAGTGGGGGATAGCAAACACAACAAGCGGTCACAAGACCAGTCAAGAGAAGAAACAAAGCAAAACAAGCTCAGGGTGGATCTCAAGATCACCACGCACTCTGAGCACTAGCAAGCGGCCACAAGGCCAGTTCATATGTCGTTTAATAATAAAGCAAGCAGTACAATGATTACAGCCTAGCAACCAGAAACATGCAGGTTTATATATCAAAGTACAAGACAAGGTCAAGAGACAAGCAGTGTTGGCCCGTGTGGCCACGTACAAAGGCGAAGCTCGAAACGATGCTGCAACATTCGCATGGCAAAGGAACGAAGTGCAAAGTGCTACGTTCTGCTCGCTAGTCTGACCAGGTAGCACAGCACCCTCATAGCAGCCCGCCAATGCGCAGGGTGGTGTCTCCCGGGCGCAACGTAGTGAGTCCGGATGCTGAGAGGGTACGGCAGGTACTCCAACTCGAACTGCCTGTCCTCAAGGACATCACAGCCAAGGGAAAGCTCACCCCCGACGGATGGAGGACACGAAGAGGTAGAAACGAGACCAACAAGGTAGGCACAGCGGCAAGTAGCGGCAAAGCCTGCGAGCTCAGCTACTAAGGCACAAGCAGCAGCAGGCGAAGAAGCAGGTGCACTCACAAGGGATATTCGGGCAAGCAGCACGAGCAAGGTCAGACACAGGGTCAGGAACAGCAGGAAGAGAAGACGGGGGAGGTAACGGCAGGACAACAGGCTCCCGAGTAACACGAGAGGGAGCAGGGGAGGCGGCACAAGACACATGCTCCCGACGCCCAGTCAGGGAGACGGACAACGGGATGTATCCAGCAGGAGCAGGCAGTGGGGAGTCAGGCGGCGGAAACAACAGAGGAGTAATACAAGTGGGCGTCGGCTCAGGTAGCGACGACGACGGCTGCTCCAAAAAGATAGGCCGCCGCGGCAGCGACTGCAACACACCCCCCGACCCAACACCTCCAGCGCCAGCACCTCCAGCGCCAGTACCTCCAACTCCACCAACAAGAGGAATCCTAGCACCCCCAGAGGCAGCACCCCCAGAACCAGCACCCCCAGCGTCACCACCCCCAACAACACCTAGGCCCCCGAAGTCCGTAACGACAGGTTGCAGAGGAGGCGAAGACGTCTGAGGCGGAAAACCCGGAGGTGTCTCCAAGCGCGGCGAGCGGCAAGAGGTCGCTGTGTCGACAGAAGTAGGGTCACCCCCCTCGGTCGAGCCAGAGGAGGTAGACGGGACTACAAGACACGAGAGAACAGTGGAGGGGTGCGCATAGACTGTGCTAGTAGGCGCACAAGCAGCGACATACGAAGGCTCTAACTCCTGGTGCCTGCCCCCGCCACTCCCGCCAGCTCCACTACAACCACCCTCGTTAGCTACAGTGATGAGGTCTGACAGTGCAGGAAATGTAAGAGGCAGCGCAAGAGAGCCTAGGAGTGCAGGAAGGGGGGGGGGGGGGGGGGGGGGGGAGTAGCGTCTAACCACAGCAGAATACATAGCATGAGTCGTCGGCACCTGGCGAAATTTGGCTCTCTGGTCGAACGGGAGGTGAAGGCGGACTGCAAGTGTGGCAGCGGCGTCTCGTGCCATCCACCGCTTATAGGCAATGTGAGCTGCGCGGAACTGCGTCCGCACCTCCTCCCCAGCGTCAGCACTAGGCTCAGCAGGAGCCTTGGGGGCCTGAAGAGACCCCGACGTGTGCTCGAACAGTGAGACGTCGTCGCGAGTGACACTATGGAGGTACAGGTGCAGCCCCTCTAGCCAGGAGTCGAACCCTAGAGGGTGCCCCACTGTGTCAAAGGCTAGAATAGTGGGAGTCGCCATAGCAGCAGGAACGACAGCAAGCAGCAGGAGCGGCAGTTACGGTAGCAGCGGCAGCACAGGTGGCAGCAGCAGCTCAGACGGAAGCAGCAGCCTAGCAGCAGCAGCAGCCTAGCAGCAGCAGCAGCCTAGCAGCAGCAGCAGCAGCGCAGGCAGGAGCAGCAGCTTAGCAGCAGCACCAGCGCAGCAGCAGTATCACAGGTGGCAGCAGCAGCATAGGCGACAGCAGCAGCCTAGCAACAGCAACAGCGGAGCAGTAGCAGCACAGGTGGAAGCAGCAGCGCAGGCAGAAGCAGCAGCGCAGGCGGCAGCAGAAGCTCAGGTGGCAGCAGCAGCCTAGCAGCAGCAGCAGCGCAGACAGGAGTAGCAGCTTAGCAGCAGCACCAGCACAGATGGCAGCAGCAGCGCAGGCGGCAGCAGCAGCGTAGGCGGCAGCAGCAACTCAGGCGGCAGCAGCAACTCAGGCGGAAGCAGCAGCCTAGCAGCAGCAGCAGCAGCCTAGCGGCAGCACCAGCAGAGCAGTAGCAGCAGCGCAGGCGGCAGCAGCAGTGCAGCAGCAGCGCAGCAGCCCACGGCAGGGCAGGGCACGCTCGAGGCAAGCGGCAGCAGTAGCTTAGCAGCAGCTGCAGCGCAGGCAAGGGGCGCGCAGGCGGCGCAGACAGTGTGTGGGCAGTGCACTGGCTGTGCAAGCAGCGCGCGGGCACAGAAGCTGTCAGGGCGTTGGTAACGGGTGCACGAGAAGGGCAGTGCGCGCATTGCAGGGCAGGGCGTCACGCGGGCTGCAGGGCAGGGCAGCGCGCACGATGCTGGGTAGGGGTGGGCTAGCGCTAGTGCGGGTCGCTGGCAGGGCGCAGGGCAGGTGCTCGCGGGCGGCGCAGGGCAACGCGTAGGGCAGGGCGGGCTAGCGCGGGTGCGGGTCGCTGGCAGAGCACAGGGCAGGCGCTCGCGGGCGGCGCAGGGCAGCACTTAGGGCAGGGCAGGACTAGCGTGGGTGCGGGTCGCTGGCAGAGCGCAGGGCAGGCGCTCGCGGGCGGCGCAGGACAGCGCCTGGGTAGCGTTTGCAGGGCAGGCGCGCGCTGGAAGGGCAGCAAAATCGACGCTCCTACGGGCGCGATACAGGCAGAAATTCGTCGTGCCTAAGGTCGCGATTCGGGCAGGAAAACCGTCGCTTCTAGGGGCGCGATTTGGGCAGGAAAACCGACGTGCCTAGGGGCACGATTCGGCCAGAAAATCGGCGTGCCTAAGGTCGCGATTCAGGCAGGATAAAAATGTGACGCGCCTAGGGGCGCGATCCGGGCAGGAAATCGAAGACTTAACGGTGGGCCCTTTTAAAAATCTGGTCCTAAGGACCTAATGGCTCTTAATACCATGTTAAGATAAGCTTAGTAGTGCCTAGGGTTTGGGTGCTAGGCAACTATCGAGAGTAGAAAGGAAGGGGGGGGGGGGACGAGGCGTGTGGTGCTACAGATCCCCTCCTACCACCGCCTTAACCTCCAAGCCCATCCCCCCCCCTCCCAACACAACAACAGGCGGCAGGGAGAGAGAGGAGGAGGAGGTGGGCGGCTGGTGCTGCATAACCCCTCCTACCACCCCCTCACCCTCCACTATCCGCCACCCCCATCACCCTACCCCCCACAGGCGCTGGTGCTGGCAGAGGCTCGGGCAGGGCGCGGGCTCCACTCCCCTGCCACCTCCCCCCCACCCGCCACCTCCCCGCACTGCAGAAGTAGGCGCGGGCAGGAAAGGCGACGGAGGGGAAGAAAACGGGACCGGGGGGAGAGAAAGGGCCGCGACAACCGCCACGAGCGTTGTCCCCCCGACAAATCTTCCCCTCCCTTCCCCCCCTCCCCCCCTTTGGTGCACCAGCAGCAGTGAGAAGGGGGTTAAATGGGGAGGGGCGGCGTAGCAGGCGGCTTCAGTTGCGCGTGTGTCTGCAGCTACACATGACGCTGCAGTCGTGCGTGCGGCTGCTGCTGCGCCTACGGCTGGAGCTGTGCATTTCGCAGCAGTTGCGCGCGTGGCTGGTGACGTGCGTGCAGCTGCGCGCTTGCGGCTGCGTGCGTGCGGCTGTGCGCACTGCGCACCGCTGGAAGGGGACGGGACGGGCTGGGGCAGCGTGAGACGGACGGGCTGTGACGGGGGGGGCGCGACCAACTCGCCGCCATGACCGCTGCGACGGTCGCGACCGTTGCGACCGTCGATAGTACGGCCGTGACGGGCGTGCGGAACATGCGCCGTGAGAGGAGGAACACGCGGTGGGCCCATGAGGGAATCGGTCTAGGAACGACCGGCTCTTAATACCATGTTGAGATAGGTAGGAAGGAATGAGATAGATTAGGGCAAGGAGGGGGATACAATGAAGTGTCGAGCAACTTACTGTAACCCCTAAGGCTAAACCCACTACACCCTAGATAGCAGTAAACATATAATTTGACACATGCATCGGGTGGAGGAGGGACTCACAGTGGTGGGGGTCCCCGTTGGAGAGGAGGACTGGGAGGTGTCTCGTTTACGGGAGCGGCTTCGGCAACTGCAGACGCCCTTGCAGTGGCTCCCCTTGCTCGACCACTCGCAGATGGCATCACACCTCTTGGCTATCGCTGTTTCAGCGCGGCCGATGTACCTTGCGCGGACCGTGCCGCCGCGGCCAGAGGTGGTGGACGCTTTTCAGTGACTGGGATAGTAGTCTGGAGGACTGATTCGAGAAGCTCTTCCCGTCTAGTACCTGGGAGTACGACCCTGCACGGTCTAGGCTGGCTCGCTTGCAGTTGCACCTACCTGTTCGTCTCAGCGGCTTTGGGATTCGAGCAACGGCTTCCTTGATTCCGCTGTCTTACGCTTGTGGGTCGGCACAGGCTGCGCGTAACATTGCGCAGTTGGGGGTAGCAGGCGAGGAGGCGATGTTTGCGTACAATCTCAGGACTGTGGCGAGGGTGGATTTTCTTGATCCCTGGTTCTCCAAGAGCCTCGAGCAGCTGCCAGAGGCTATACGCCGGGAGATGCCGAGCTTGCCTATCTGCGTCGCTGCCCCCCTTGTTCGTCTATTCCAGGCGTGGCTGCGGCAGTTGGCTGTGGAGGAACTTCAGACAGTGCGCCGATTGGCCCGTGACGATGCCACCCTGGCCCGTTGCGGCGAATAGACAATTGTGGGAGAGCCTAGGCGCACAGTTGCACGATCAGAGAGAGAGGTGCAAGTTTTCCGTGTACGGACTTGTTGGAGACCGGATACTGGTATTCGGATAACTGTGTGCTTGGTATGCAGCAACATGCTTGGTATCCAGTAACGAAAGGAAAGTGATTCATTAATTGATTGATTACAACAGATACAACATGAACCTTATAGAAAATATAGTGACATGTGCGAGAACGTTCTAGAGAACGTTTTTCATGAAGAACGTTGTTCATGGAGAACGTGCAAGCACCTACTCTAGTATGCGGTTCCACGTTGGCACCGCCAGGTGAAAACTCCATCAGGTGAAAGTACCGTCAGGTGTATTTTCTACCTGTCCAGGAGTAGTTGCGCAGGTGCTCGCAACAGACACTTACACATACTTGTTTGTGCAATGTCGTCACTTCCCTCCAGCTCGGTCCAGTGTTGAATAGTGCATACCGAAGTGCACTGTTGGAGTGTACTCGGCGAATACCAACGCTCCGGTATGCGGTATGCGAAGCCTCGCTATATCGCATAGGGCTGCTACACGCAAAACCAGGCGCGTGCAGGGCTTCACCTTAACACTCCCCTGCCCTGCTCGTGCCTGGGCAACTGAGGAGTTAGCACACCACACAAAGCGAAAGGAAATAATAGAGTACAACAGGGTGACGATTTTGAAACTCGTCCGCGTGTTTCCGCACACACATACTCACCACACCAGCCATGTTGAAGGACATGGCACCTATTCTGGCTCATAGTCACGCTCGTCGTCTGCAAGATCGACTTGGCCAACAGTGACAGAGCAACGCTTGAATGCCAGGGAATGCAACGCCTTTGTGAGATAGTCCGCGGGTTGCTCGCTCGTCGGAATGTACGTAAGTGCGAGCTTCTTGCGCTTCACCATCTGCTGCAGCCAGATGTAACGCCTCTCCATGTGCTTGAGACTCCCCTTGAGCCCCAACCCTTCCGCAACAGCAATCGCAGATGAGTCGTCCACGTGGATGACGGTTGGCACCCCAACATCGAGAAGCCGAAATTCAGCTAGAAGAAAGAGCAAATGTCGCGCCTCCTTCCCGGCCTCCGTTGCAGCAATGTATTCGGATTCCGTTGTGGATAGCGTCATGCACTTAATCCTGTGACTTGCCCATGAAACTGCAGCTCCACCAAGCACGAAAACGTATCCGCTGGTACTGCTGCGCGTCTGCCGGTCACTTGCGTCATCGGAATCCGCATACCCCACCAGGCGCAAAGTATCCGGTCCACCACCGAATTCGAGGGCAAAATCGCAGGTGTTCACCATGTAGTCAATGCAGCGGTCCAGCTCCCTCCAGTGCTGGTCATTGCGAATTGTCAACCCCGAGCCCAACTTGCTGCATGCGTACGCAATGTCGGGACGGGTCGTGGTCGCGGCAAACTGGAGCAAACCCACTTTCTGGTGGTACTCCTCCTCTTCATGCGCTTGGTATTCTTCGTCATCAAATGTCAACTCGGTGTACGCATCGACCGAGATGGGTGTTTTCGGGTAGCGACCTGTCTGCTCTTCGTCCACAAAGCGGCGACGCAGCTTATCCACGTATGCGCTTTGGTGCAGCCACAGCTTGCGCGCAGACCTGTCCCGTACTATCTCCAGCCTCAAATACTTATGCACAGGAGTGATTTCCCGCAGCTCGAATGCGTTTTGCAGAAGCTCACGAAGGTCCTTCAGCATCTCGAGGCTGCTGCTCGCGGCTAGCAAGTCGTCAACGTACACCAGCAGCCAACAACCTGTCAGAATATTATGCTCTAGCCTGTAGTGGGGTGCTCTATAGCGAGTACAACTCTTCTAGGGTTTTGCTATTTGTATCCCCATTCTTGCTAGTGCAACCCTCTTCTTTCTTCTAAACTTTAACATGCTATCAGAGCAGGTCGATCCCCTTGGATCGATCCTGTGGGTGGGCTCACCACCTTGTTGCTTCCGCTGCAACTGCTACTGCTACTCTCTGTGCCGCACGCCCCGTGGCGTGCGGCAGTTTTTCTTCCCGCCGTGCGCCCCGAGGCGCGCGGCGGTTTTCTGCCCGCCGTGCGCCCCGAGGCGCGCGGCGGTTTTCTGCCCGCCGTGCGCCCCGAGGCGCGCGACGGGTTTCTGCCCCGTCACTCGCCGCGTCGCCCCCGGGAGGCGCTGCGACGGGCGACGGGGACCCGTCGCGCCGCCCAGGGGAGCCGCGCGCGGCCCCTGCTGCCCCGTCGCGCGGCCCTGCTGCCCCGTCGCGCTGCCCAGGGGAGCCGCGCGCGGCCCCTGCTGCCCCGTCGCGCGGCCCTGCTGCCCCGTCGCGCTGCCCAGGGGAGCCGTGCGCGGCCCCTGCTGCCCCGTCCCGGACCTGCCCCGGCCCCGACCTGCCCCGGCCCCGACCTGCCCCGGCCCAACTCCCGTCGCCTGTCGAGGCGACCCTGGGGGGGGGCCGCGCGTTGCCCCCCCCCCCCCTACCTCCCTAACCTGTTTTTAGGGTTTGGGGGGTGGCGGTTGGGGGGTGGCGGTTGGGGGGTGGCGGGTGTGTGGCGTCGCCTGCTCCTCCTCCTCCTTCGTCTCCCACTGCTGCAGCTATCGCTGAGGGGGGTGGATGTGTGGGAGTGTACGGAGTGGTGCTAGGGGGGTGGAGTGTGAGTAGAGCTAGGGTTTGAACAGGGGGTGTGTGAAATGGGGGTGGGACAGTTGGGGGAGGTTGAATGGAGGCGGTCGTCGTGTCGTCAGCAGCAGCAGCAGTCCGGAGGCTACAATCTCCGGTAGTCGCCAGTCGCCCGTGGGTCCGTTGCTCGTCTGCCGCTACTTTTAGCCGCGGGGCCAGTTACCCCAGTAGTCCGGAGCGCTGTTCCGGTAGCCACTGAGCCAGCAGCTCGTCTGTGTGTCTGCAGCGTCAGCAGTCGCCTCCCATCTTCTCTCCCCCACAGTCTCTCCTCCTCCTCACTTGCCCTCTGTGATAGCCTCTAGCTTTGCTTATATTTGTTAACTATAAAACTGCTACCTCTTGTACTTGTGCTCAGAATGTGTGGTGACATTGTGATCCACCCTGAGCTTGTTTTCTTTTGCTTGCTCTGCTGATTACACCCCACTTTGGCTATGGGGGTGTGTCAGAATATTATGCTCTAGCCTGTAGTGGGGTGCTCTATAGCGAGTACAACTCTTCTAGGGTTTTGCTATTTGTATCCCCATTCTTGCTAGTGCAACCCTCTTCTTTCTTCTAAACTTTAACACAACCGACTCCATCAGCACCGAACTTGAAGTAGAGCACTTCGTCAACCTGACTCTTGCTCCATCCGCCGCCAATGAGTACACTGTCGAGTGCCGAATACCACAGCAGTGGACTCTGTTTGAGTCCGTACAAGCTTTTCAGAAGCTTGCACACGCGAGATGTACCGTCATTGAAGTACGCCGGCTGCTCCATGTACAGAACTCGGTCCAACTTGCTCTGCAGGTATGCGTTTTTCATGTCCCCTGCATCGTTGTTGTCTTCGCCGATGACCTCCACAACGTCGCTTGACGAGCCATCGCTGATTTGCTCCCCTGTCAACAGCTCCCATGTCACCTGCTCCCCTGCCTGTTTCTGCACACCAGGTACGCCGTTCTCAGAAGAAGCGGCAGGTCGACCATCGACGATGCCGATGCGCGGCGCCGAAGGTAGCGCGTCATGTCTCCCCTCATTGTCGTCGGCCGACTTGGACAGGGAGTCGGGGGTGGGACAAGAGATGCTTTCCGCAGCTGGAAGCGGGGAGGAGATGACAGCAAGCGCGGATGAGGTTGACAATTTGGTGACAGGCACCACACGCGGGTATACAGGTGGAAGGGTAGATAAGGGGATGGACGTGGGGAATTGCGGAGGTGCAGGTGCTGAAGCCAGTGCGTCAAGCGGATCGTCAATCTCATCAGCGAGAAGACCCGGTGAAGGAGCAGAGACCGCTGAAGTGGATACTTTGTGTACACTTCCTGGCGCGCGCTCGGCTTTTCAGTCATCCAGTGATTGGGTTTCGTAAAATATCACCTCCACAGTGGTGACGATGCGGTTTGTAGCGAGATCCAGCACCTCCCAACCTTTGCTCGCAGGAGAAACGCCAAGATGAAGACCCGCACCACCGCGCTGAT